GTGTTTAGGCCGTGTTTTTATGCTGAGTGCTGAAGCATGTGCACTTAATAATGTACTTTGACAAATTTGACTTGTTATTTAATATGTGAATTGAAGAAGATTGAAAAACGCTGACATAAAGTATTGTTGTTAATTGCCATCGGACTCGGAGATACACTTCTGCAATGTAGCGATTTACCGTAAAATCGTATACGGATCGCCGCTAGAAATTCCAGATACGCGGTTTCACTAAGGAGCGGCCACCATTGGGAAGGGTTAAAGCGAGAAGGAAGGCGGAGAGGAATCGGGTATGGAAGGCCGCGAAAACGATGTCAGCACGACGAAACGCAGCGCAGCGCAGACAAACGGGGGCGGGCGGGGGCCGAGAAAGAGTTTAAGCTGATTCGGTTTTCTCCTTGGCCTCTGGATCACGATCGTTTCCAGCGGAGCGCCCAAGAGAGCAGCCGCGCCGGTAGCCAGAGGGCAGGAACAAAAAAATTCAAAGCCGACGCCACTCATGCCGGCGAACGGATTTTTATATCGAGCACATACGGAGCCGCACGACATGCGTACGATAATGCATGCGCGTGTATGTGTGTATGTGCTCACCATGACTCGCGCGATGCTACTGCACACGAAAAAGGCTATATGTATTTAGCCTTGTATGGATCAATACTCACAAGTATTTCTCTACCCTCTGCTGCAACGCTTTTTTATGTTATTTATCGAGAAAGAAATTATCGAGCTACTAAAATTAAAATATTTTTTAAAAATAGCCATTGTGCATGCTTCCTTCTCCTACAAATTTTTTAATTGAAGTCGGATTAATTATAAGTTCAGTATTAGAAACACTTTTTTAGATTTTAGTATTTTAATTAAAAATAAAATATTTGAAATTTAAAGAAACTTTTAAAGAAAACTTATTTAAAAAGTCTTCTAATCTAATAGAATGTTTTTTCTTAGACCGCCATAATTATTTGTAAGAAATATTTTTTAGGAGCGAGGTTTTTAAAAGATATTAAAATAATATTTACCGACAAAGTATCAAATTATTAGTACAGATATTATCTAACTAAGAATGATATTTCTATCGATACTCAGTTATGTAAACTGAAGTTTAGACTGTACGATGCGATAACGCTTGCGTGTCTAGATAATTTGCAAATTAATATGACAATAAATAAAGTTGGAATTTTCATACTTGCCACAGATGGCAAGGTTCATGCTTGATGTCGACTAAAAACGTTTTAACCATTAATGTATACCAGATTGTGCGCTTGTAAGGTGAAGAAAGCGGGTGCACGTTTCAAAGACAGGCTTTTCCTTCCTCGAAGTGAGGGAGTGCGAAGGTATACTTTGTCCAGGAGTGTTGCACGTATCGCATCAGATTTCACGTGGAGTCTGTGGTTCCTTAGGAATGGATACTGACGCGGTTATGGATTACGATTGCGGCAGTTTACAGCCACGGCTGAGGTAGTGCGGGTATACATAAAACAAGTACATAATACACGTGAAACCCTTCGATTCACCCTTCAAAAGCATACTGAAATGAAATCTGGGAGTTATCATGGAATAAGTCGAATGGATTCCAATTGGAATTATACAATTATTATCTAGATTTTTATTGTGTTTTTTTAGGGAAAAGTGAAATAATTCCTATCGGAATCCATTTTAACTTATTTCATGATAGGTACTCTGAGAAGATTATTACGGAAAATAAGCGGTTAAAAATCATAATCAAGAAATACGAAAAGTATAATATTAATTGAGAAAGTATACATAATTATAAAATAGAAATCAGAATAAACACGAGTGAAAAAAAAAACAAAATAAATTTTAGACGAAAATTCATTCACATCAGTCATTTAAATTACGTAAATATTTTGTATTTAATATACATATATAGAAGAAATTTATATTTTGTAAAAATATTTAACTGCATAAATGTGTTATTCTATGCAGATATATTAATAGACATAATTATTTAGTTCACATCGAAAATTAAATTTATATTCTTGAGTTAGAATTATGAAATGTTCCTATATTTTTTATTCTGTACACATTATTTAGCTTTATTTTATTTCTACGAATAGGACATGCATTAAAGAAAGGAAATATTTAGGCAAAGTACAATTATTTCGAATGGAATGATAATAAGATTGTATATTGATTCACAATTATTAGTGACGGACGATTTATATACGATTGACTTTAACCATTGATAATATCTACCTATTCTTAATATAAAATTGCCAATAAAAAATAATGAAATGAAGGAAGTTTGAAAGAAGAAGTTTGAAGGAAGTGAAGTTTATATAGATTGTAATAAAAATAAATATTTAAATGCAACAGAGAATTTGTTACACCCCATATACATTAAATTAGTAACAAGAGTGATAAGATTCCTGTTTTATCAACAATCGTTAATAGTTAAGTTTTTGTAAACTGCATTGGTTTGTAAATTATTGTTTTATATTATTCGGCTTTATATTCTGCTCTTTGGCTCTATGTTATTTTATAATAATAACATTGCCTAAATTTAAGTTAATTATCAAGCATAATTTCTATATTGCCAACTGTACGCAAATATGCATACATACTATCAACAGTAAATCAGCATAAGAAAATGGCATATAGAAAATTTTAAGACGTAAGCAGTAAAAAATAATTAATATGGAAATTAACATGGATTTGCTATACTATTTACATTATGACTTTACAGTCTCTCTACAATGATTGGCCAATTTACTTACAGCTTATTACTGCTTATTACTGCTTACAGATATAACAGCGTTTCAAAAATCCGACGCGCAGTTTGGCAGAATTTTATACGTATTATATATAAATTTCCTTCCTTTCCATAAAATAAAGAACTCTGATTGATTTATTTTCTCCTCATGTTTTGCAAAAGTTTGTGCTGCGTTTTAGACTCTACGATCGCTACGATTTTTGTGATAGACTCCGTAGAATGAAATTTAATATCAAAGAGTCAGATCGAATAACATTTCGAATAATTGTGAATGCAAAGATTGATCACGTTTAAAGAAAATGTCTTGACGCGAATAAACTAATAAGGAATAATTATTATAAAGTAAATGAATAGCTATGAATGAGCAATCAATGAATTAATTTAAATAAGTAACTGGTAATTAAATTACTGAGAATAATAAGTTCGATTTGGCTCTAGTTCACAAAACATAAGTAAGTTTATAATGACAGCATAAGAAACAATAATATAATACAAATACAAGCAAATATTTTCAGCCGTGTTGACAACAACATTCGACTGATAATACAGTCCATAAAATGAAGTAACACAACAACCGGAGATGACGTATGCCAATGGAACTCAAGTTAAAATAAATATCATAAAAGTGATCCAAGAATAAAATTGTTTTAAAAGCAGTTTTTTTATTACTATTGTTATTATTACATTCTAAATTTTCTCATTTTCTAAATCATTATTTAATTATTTGTATCTATTTATGTTAAATGATTAGTGTAAATTATTCTGCAATTATTGTTGTTTCGATCCTTGGTCTGTCTGGACAGTTTCTTCTATAATAAAAAAATCCGTCTCATTAATTTTTCTTCTTCGTATTGAAATTGTAATAACGAATGAAATTGTAATTCGATTGAACGCAGTGCGCATTGGTACACATTAAAGATATGTTATCGTACGCAAATTAAAGATATGTTTATTAATTAAATAAATAAAAAATAAATGAAAATAAATATGAAAACCGGATAAATCGACCGTGAAATGCTCGATACACTTTATTGTACTGTTAAAATATGTATACTATACTGTTAAAATATGTATACTATACTGTTAAAATATGTATACTATACTGTTAAAATATGTATACTATACTGTTAAAATATGTATACTATACTGTTAAAATATGTATACTATACTGTTAAAATATGTATACTATACTGTTAAAATATGTATACTATACTGTTAAAATATGTATACTATACTGTTAAAATACGTATGCTATATAATTCGAAACATTTGCATTTCATTTTTACACTTAAATTAAATCAATATATAACAATGCTTTAATATGGCAGTAATGCGCAATAGTATGTCCAATTCGCCATTATTAAACTTTATATTTTTTGGACTTACTGGAGGCTGTGCTCCTGCTCCACCGTTAGCCTCTTTTCCGCACTAAACCTTATTCATGCATTTTGTTGTACTTTGATACTGAAATAATATATTATAAATTTAATACGTATTAAATTAATATAATTTAATCGGTATAAATATAAAATTCTGCCAAACTTTCTGCGCGTCGGATTTTTGAAACGCTAATGTGTATGTAAATAATTTATTATAAATATTTAAAAAATTTTGTTGTCTCTCTTGCTTATATCCAATCAGAGGAGATTGTTGATGAATGTTTATCCTGTGTGTCCGAAATGTATAAGGGAGCTCCCATACGTCTTTCAATACAAAAAATGCATGAAATTAAGGCATGCCCGTAATGACGTCCCATGGATGCGAACCAGGAATCCGCAAAACATCGAAGCGACAAATTGAATTTCTTGGATTTAACCTAATAAAAAAAAGAAAACAGATTAATATACATGATTGATATCACAGACTTAACTTCTTGACACGTTATCTAAATTTCTTTTCTTACTATCCAGACATTATGCTATAAATTAAACATAATTATTAATTTGATTGATTTTGTTATCGCATCCCAATTTCCATAATAAAAATATTGAACTCATTGTTAACATATTATTGAGAAATGAATATCCATTAGATTTAATTTTTAAGAATATTAAAAAAAGGACATTACTTAAGTTTAAACAATTTAATAATTTAAAACTAGATTTGAACAGAAATAAAGAACAAGTCCAATAAAAAGGTTACTTACTTCACCATCCATTTCAAATAGATTCAAAAGATTTTTCGAGAATAATTGTTTCATACGTTTTTACTTATACTAGAATCAATAAATTAAGTTCCTTCATTAAAGGACAGAAGGATAAATTATCAGTTTGTCCTCGTTTTAATTTAATGTGGTATGTAAGATTAATCCTCGAACGGTGGACGCAGGAACAAAAACATCCAAGAATAAAATTATTTTAAAAGCAGTTTTTTTATTACTATTGTTACTATTACGCACAATATCGCTGATGTATATGTGATATATTATGAGATTCACAAATTCGTTGGTAGATATTTCATTTCATAAACTGATAGTTTTCGTTTGATTATGGAATTCTTCTACTTCACGTTCTCACACTCATTGACTAACTAATTTTATAACTTACGAAAAATACTGTCTCTTTGCTTGCTAAGTTAAAATTTTTTTGAAATATTTGCATTTATTACGAAAAGAAATCTAATCACAAATTGATATCATCTGTCTTTTTCTGTATATATTTTCTGTACGTATATTGCACATTTTCACAGAAATAATCTTTGGGTGATTCTTCTTGATTACTTCACGAACGTGATTCTTCTTCTTTTTTCACTTAGATTTCTTAAATCTAAAGGATCAGGGTTATATGACTTGGATTTTTGTTTTTCATCACTATTATAATGAAACAATACTTTTGCACTAAAAAATTATTAGAAACCAATAATGGATTCAATTTTTTAAGAGACTATTGTTCTATCACTGATCGAACGTTGCATATCTTCTTTCTAACTGCTTCTATACTCATCTTGAGGTTGGCTTAGTAGCAGGGTTTACACTGTTGTGAACTGCTGCCTTGCGTTCCTCACAGCTGACTCCTATTTAATTATTTGTATTTAATTATGTTAAATTATTAGTGTAAATTATTTTGCAATTATTGTTGTTTCGATCCTTGGTCTGTCTGGACAGTTTCTTCTGTAATAAAAAAATCCGTCTCATTAATTTTTCTTCTTCGTATTGAAATTGTAATAACGAATGAAATTGTAATTCGATTGAACGCAGTGCGCATTGGTACACATTAAAGATATGTTATCGTACGCAAATTAAAGATATGTTTATTAATTAAATAAATAAAAAATAAATGAAAATAAATATGAAAACCGGATAAATTGACCGTGAAATGTCTCGATACACTTTATTGTACTGTTAAAATATGTATACTATACTGTTAAAATATGTATACTATACTGTTAAAATATGTATACTATACTGTTAAAATATGTATACTATACTGTTAAAATATGTATACTATACTGTTAAAATATGTATACTATACTGTTAAAATATGTATACTATACTGTTAAAATATGTATACTATACTGTTAAAATATGTATACTATACTGTTAAAATACGTATACTATATAATTCGAAACATTTGCATTTCATTTTTACACTTAAATTAAATCAATGTATAACAATGCTTTAATATGGCAGTAATGCGCAATAGTATGTCCAATTCGCCATTATTAAACTTTATATTTTTTGGACTTACTGGAGGCTGTGCTCCTGCTCCACCGTTAGCCTCTTTTCCGCACTAAACCTTATTCATGCATTTTGTTGTACTTTGATACTAAAATAATATATTATAAATTTAATACGTATTAAATTAATATAATTTAATCGGTATACATATAAAATTCTGCCAAACTTTCTGCGCGTCGGATTTTTGAAACGCTAATGTGTATGTAAATAATTTATTAAAAATATTACAAAAAAATTTTACCTTTTGATCCATATTGTGTCGAATGTTTCTTCTCTCTGTTGCTCATATCTAATCAGAGGAGACTGTTAATGAATGTTTATCCTGTGTGTCCGAAATGTATAAGGGAGCTCCCATACGTCTTTCAATACAAAAAATGCATGAAATTAAGGCATGCCCGTAATGACGTCCCATGGATGCGAACCAGGAATCCGCAAAACATCGAAGCGACAAATTGAATTTCTTGGATTTAACCTAATAAAAAAAAGAAAACAGATTAATATACATGATTGATATCACAGACTTAACTTCTTGACACGTTATCTAAATTTCTTTTCTTACTATCCAGACATTATGCTATAAATTAAACATAATTATTAATTTGATTGATTTTGTTATCGCATCCCAATTTCCATAATAAAAATATTGAACTCATTGTTAACATATTATTGAGAAATGAATATCCATTAGATTTAATTTTTAAGAATATTAAAAAAAGGACATTACTTAAGTTTAAACAATTTAATAATTTAAAACTAGATTTGAACAGAAATAAAGAACAAGTCCAATAAAAAGGTTACTTACTTCACCATCCATTTCAAATAGATTCAAAAGATTTTTCGAGAATAATTGTTTCATACGTTTTTACTTATACTAGAATCAATAAATTAAGTTCCTTCATTAAAGGACAGAAGGATAAATTATCAGTTTGTCCTCGTTTTAATTTAATGTGGTATGTAAGATTAATCCTCTAACAGCGGACGTCATGATACTCGCACGCACGGCGGACGCAGGAACAAAAACATCCAAGAATAAAATTATTTTAAAAGCAGTTTTTTTATTACTATTGTTACTATTACGCACAATATCGCTGATGTATATGTGATATATTATGAGATTCACAAATTCGTTGGTAGATATTTCATTTCATAAACTGATAGTTTTCGTTTGATTATGGAATTCTTCTACTTCACGTTCTCACACTCATTGACTAACTAATTTTATAACTTACGAAAAATACTGTCTCTTTGCTTGCTAAGTTAAAATTTTTTTGAAATATTTGCATTTATTACGAAAAGAAATCTAATCACAAATTGATATCATCTGTCTTTTTCTGTATATATTTTCTGTACGTATATTGCACATTTTCACAGAAATAATCTTTGGGTGATTCTTCTTGATTACTTCACGAACGTGATTCTTCTTCTTTTTTCACTTAGATTTCTTAAATCTAAAGGATCAGGGTTATATGACTTGGATTTTTGTTTTTCATCACTATTATAATGAAACAATACTTTTGCACTAAAAAATTATTAGAAACCAATAATGGATTCAATTTTTTAAGAGACTATTGTTCTATCACTGATCGAACGTTGCATATCTTCTTTCTAACTGCTTCTATACTCATCTTGAGGTTGGCTTAGTAGCAGGGTTTACACTGTTGTGAACTGCTGCCTTGCGTTCCTCACAGCTGACTCCTATTTAATTATTTGTATTTAATTATGTTAAATTATTAGTGTAAATTATTTTGCAATTATTGTTGTTTCGATCCTTGGTCTGTCTGGACAGTTTCTTCTGTAATAAAAAAATCCGTCTCATTAATTTTTCTTCTTCGTATTGAAATTGTAATAACGAATGAAATTGTAATTCGATTGAACGCAGTGCGCATTGGTACACATTAAAGATATGTTATCGTACGCAAATTAAAGATATGTTTATTAATTAAATAAATAAAAAATAAATGAAAATAAATATGAAAACCGGATAAATTGACCGTGAAATGTCTCGATACACTTTATTGTACTGTTAAAATATGTATACTATACTGTTAAAATATGTATACTATACTGTTAAAATA